AAAGAATATACCAAGAGTGTAAGCCAATAGCATGTAGCCAAGACTAACTAGACATCGCTTGCAAGCGCAAGCATAGAAAAGGTTTAGTATTGACTCGAGGTTAATAAAAAAAAAAACAAAGTTGACCATAAAGTTCTTTTTTAAGAAATTAAAGAAATACCTTGTTGTGACTAAGTTATTATAAACACAAAATTTTGTAAAAAAAAAAGTTATGTCTTGCAATTAGTCATGATTGCAATGCCAACCGGATTAATTTTTAATTTTGCATAAATACTCACCCTCACGATTTTCCTCAACAATTTCCTGGGACGCCAACTGTACAAGTTCCTTTATTTTTGGATTTTGATGTTGGTGTTTAGCAATTAAGAAAAGTTTTTCATTGTATTTCTGAATTCCCGATTTGGGAAGAGCTTCCAGCGAAATTCGTCTGAATTCCTTAAGTACCTGTAAAAAAATTGTTTAGTAAATTTTTAGTATTATTATTAATTGTTTTTGGTCTTTACACACAGTTTCTACCAAAGCCGTGTAGGCATGTACATGCTCTTTCTCATAACTTTAACAAGCCATAGCCCCCAACCACATCCACATTTTAGAGCAACCATGCAAAAAATTAATTGATAGCATGCATTGTGGGGTTTGTTTATAGCACTGAACACTAAAAACACAGATTATAATATGATTTTATTCGGAAGAACAATGCGAAAAACTGGTATAAAGAAACCTGCTGAGGAAGGACAAAGAAACATGAGTCACACAGCCAAAACTGGAGTGTGTTGCCATAAGTAAAGATCTCCAACAAACCTTGTTTTTCAGGTATAGTTTTTCATGCACATAATCTTTGTGAATACAATGTTATTATGTAAACCCTATACATGACAATAATGGATTCAAAATATAAATCAGATTTTTATTTTATAAATACCTCATCTCCTGATGACAAAAGGACAGGATACTCCTCCTTAATCTCTTCTAGTGATGGATTATTTTTCACAATGAATTCCATTCTATCTGCAAATGTTATATCCATGTATCTGTCGAGGTTCATTTTATTTGGTGTTCGCTTTGAC